GCTTTGTCGATAGTGTCTGGACTTCTTGGGTGAGGAGGAACAGTGTGTTCGGTCTAAAAAAAACTATTCAAACTCTGCCCCTGCAGCCAGGTGTCTCCAGTGGGCACTAACCCACTTATGGCAGATGCCTCTTGCACTTGTAGTGGCCAGTCGAGACAGCAGCACACATTTCTACAAATTAGCAATTTGACATAGTTTGAATTAAACTTGAAAGTGCAGTGTTACAGACCCATGTCCATGATCTTGTGACTAGGCTTGGTCAGGAGAATTTCACCTGTGGTGCATGTCTTGGGTTAATGGTGGAACCTGGAGTGCCCAGAGGAAACCATTTAAACATGGGGAAATGTGAGTAAATAAGTAAGTGGCTCTCAGCTGCCATGGCATTAAACTTGTATATCTTTTAAAAATATATATATTGCTGTTAAACCCGTTCAAAAACATCTCTCCATTGTTCTGACTTGTAACTTGATGCCTGCCACCATGGACAAAATAAGTCTAATGCCATACTGTGGTGCATTGCAGGCAAAGTAATAACATCTCCTTGGAGATAAGCAGGTGGTGAAATCCCCACTGGAAAAGTTACACCTTTAAATAAACAGAAATGTGACAAATGACGGTGTGATCTATGGCACATTGCAATAATAAGCTTCCTAACCTTGCCCAGTTAACTCAGATAGATTTTTACAGTGTACAGATGATAAATCCACTCTCTTAGCTCCGGGTCTGTGCTCATTCAGGGCTGGACCTGTTTCCTGTCCCTCACCAATGAATCATTTGCTTCATAAACAAACATCAAACAGGACTTCCACTCATATTCATCAGCTTTGAGATCATATGAGGGACATGTCATTGTAATTATCCTCTCAGCTCCGTTATACTAACAAGGACCTGCTGAGTTTAAACAAGCCCATCCAGGAATTAGACAGTGACATCAAGTGAAACCAAAGCTCTGATTAGCTGGAGTTTTGATGCATGATAAACATTTAGGCAGATATTGTGGCGATTGGTGAGTTATAAGTAAATGGCCATAACTACTACTCAAGTGTGACCTTTGCCATTATAATTTCTCAAGCACATCATAGTGGTGTCACAATTCTAACATTTCTTTACTTCATTTTACCAGTAATATAAGGAAAATGCTCAAGAAAATGCACAATGAAAATACAGTATTTTATAATTTTCAACATAAAATTGTGTGGTTTGTGGTTTTACACTATTTCTGACAAAAAATAAATACATCTGTAACTCTAAACTAGATTTTCTAACCACCTTGATTTTTGGATCTCATTATTAAACGTCCTATATTGCGCAAAATTGACTCCTATGAACTTTAATGCCCTTACCTTCTCACAAACAGACCTGGAGTTGTGTTTTGTTTCATTCACACATCTGAGTAACCCTTTATTATTAGTCTGTTTACAGCTCCGAAGCTCAAAATACTTTATACTGCTGCACCTTATGATGTCATGAAGTGGTAATTTTCAAGTTGACAGCTACTTTTTTACCTTTAGTTCAGTAGAGATTGTGAAATTTCAGGGCTAAAATTAACCAAATGATTCCAGTGAGTGGGCGAGTTGCAGGGTTTGTGTGTTCAACATGTGTGAATGAAACAAAACACAACTCCAGGTCTGTTTGTGATGAGGAAACATTATAACATAGATGAAAAAATAGCATAATTTGGGCCCTTTAAGTTTTTAGTCCAAGTGAATAAATTACTTGTAAACTCATTGCAGAATTTAAATGAACTGAACTCTAAGCTCTGCACCATAGTCATGTGTTGCTTTAGCTCCACCTAGTGGAAACAGGAGGCATTACCAATGAGTGCACGTCCATGGGTTGCAGAGTGATGTACAATTGCAATTAACAATTTCAAACAAAATATACTCTTTTGAATAGTCCTACAGGTAGATTGAAGCCCATGAATATATACATCCACAGACATATTTGGTGAGTCCTTACTTAGTCTGCAGGACAAGAAGTGAAATGCACAATTTTTATGTACAAGAACATATTAAGGCCATGATTTACTTAAAAAGAGTTGGGACATACAAAAATGCAAATGAACATTGAAGGCAAATCTATATCCTCCTGGGACTCAGAGAAAAAAAAGTACATATAATTTTTGTGATTTTCTCTCTATTTGGAGATAAATGAAAACCTTAGCATTTAGATTGTTTATTTTATATATATTAATATGTTTTTAACATGCTGGGAACATTTTGGTGTTAAATCCATGTGAAGTTAACAATCTAAAAAAAAAAAAAAAATTTTTTTTGATGACCAACGTTTCTGACAAGCTTCTACAGTCGCCTCAGATAGTTTTAAGAATCCCTTTTAATTTCTTATTTATATTTTTAATCATATTGCAGCCACTAACTAGCTCTTATTGAGTTAATTTTTTTTATCCTGGACATGATAGTACCTATATTCCCCCAGCCCCATTTAGGCAGAGGAACCTGGTCCCATTAAGAGTCTATCTCAAAACAATTAAAAGAAAGACTGGTTAACTCAATGTCCACTATAAAGGACAGAAATGAATGGGCCGGGTCTCAGGATGATCTGGGATACATTTCTTGTTAATATGGTTGCCCAAACTATGGCTGACACAGTAAAATAAAAATCCACTCAAGAATGATGTTATTACCTCAGCCATTTATTGTTAAACATTAAAAAGAAAAGACTTCTTCCAAGGTAATATATAAAATAACCGTTTAAAATCAAGTGCACTTCAACAATGTCCCAGTCCCCTCTCTCAGGGTGAAGTGGAGAACTCAAAAACACACATACGTCTTTGCAGTAAGGCTTTAGGTGGGCTTCTGTGAGGACGCTATGCAATTTACCATATTATTTATACAAAACACAACACAAGGAAACAATGGCACCAACTTAAACAGGTTATGAGGCAGTGTTTGTTGTGCTAAACTCTGCTTTAGCCTCTTGTTTAAATAAAGAGCACTGACTTCTGCCAAATCTATTAGTAAATGACTTCTCTATTAATTTAAACAGCATTAGCCTCGGGACACTTCAGATCCAGATGAGTTTCCATGATGCAACATTTTAGTCATTCTCGATCAGGGTGTATTCGTTTTATGGCAATCGCAGGAAGTCATTTATTAACCAATTTTAGTGTAGAAAGACAAATTTCACCTGACGTAACAAAGCAATTTATCCAATTTGCTTTTTTTTTTGCAGTTATTTTGGCAGACCCAGGTTTGACTGCTTTTAGGACTGACCCACCCTGAATACAAACAGTAAACCAGGACTGAGCCAGATGCTATTGGACAAGTGGGTCATTATCACACCATCAATACCTGTTTCTCTCTATACAAAAATAACCATGATTACACGTGGAAATTATCCAAGTAACAAGAGAAAATGTAACTGAAAAACAATGATCCATTTACAATTCAAAGTTCAGTACATTCATATTATGAAACAATCCTGTATACAGTATAACCCCAGAATATATGGTAAAATCAGCAATTCAATTGCTTAATGTGGTTTACATACTCAGTATATACGTACATAACATTGTACATCAATGGCATTTCACATTTGACCATTTGCAAGAATACATAGCCTTTATACAACTCACATAGAAACACAGTACAAAACCAGGCAACTCCCTTACACTCTGAGGCTTCACTTCTGATTGACAGTATTTTACATACTTTTAGAAACAAGCAGACTAAACTGAAATTGTGCAAATCAGGTTTGAACAGCAGGTGGCAGTGTTAAGATACACGTAAATGTATGAATGTGTAGAAACAGACATCTTCAATATCTTTGTTTTGAGGGGTGCTCATTATAAACACTCCAAAATTTACCCCAAAATACTAATTTGAATGGCCTATAATGTGATGGCCTATATACTGTAACCCTATATGCTGTAGTGTGTCTGAGTACAGGCAGTTAAATGCTTTTAGGAGCGTACCCTCATTCTAAACCAATGCAAAGGAAATGACCAAAACTTCAAATTGTTGCTTTTTTTGTCATAGTGGGACGGGCAGTTTTGATGCTTGTACTGCACATACTATGTACTGCTTCTCATGAAGCAACATCAGTGTTACTGTACAAGGCCAGTTACACCATCTGTACTTGAATCAGGACCAGATCATAATTGTGGTGTGGTTTGGGGTTTGTGATGAGGTGACATAATACTTGACAATAGCCTGGAGCTGCTCACCTCTCCAGCTTTTAAATGAGTGAGATGAGAGTCCTATGTGCTAGGCCTGTCACGATAACAAACTCTGAACTACAATATATCGCTGAAGAAAATATAGATGATAAAAGATAATATTGAAACTAATTTATGATTCTGAACCTAAAGCAGGATCATCCCCAAAAATATACTAAATATAGAATATGGCTAGATACACAAACTGCAACAAATAAACAGCAGAATTAAGTACTTACTTTGTATCAGAAATGAGTCATATCATTTTTGTATTTCACCCTCTACAGCTCAAATATTTTCGTAGTACAAAAAAATCACAAAACGTTCCCCTACTAGTACTAAGAAAAGTTACCCAAAATAAATACTGACCCCTAAAAATTATTGTTCCATATAACATATTTTGAACAATAAGTCAAATAGTAATTATCGTGACAGGCCTTTTTACTAAAATGTCATTGCCCCATATAAGAAACATTACGGTACCTGCCAATAATAATGAACAGGAGCAGTAATAGTAGTGCGATTATTGTTTTCAAATTAGCAGAAACTATATTAAAAATACTGATCCAAATCTAGGTATTGTTTGAATTATCCTGATATCAAGGGTTAAATGTGTTAAAACTAGTAAATTCTTGTGAAAATACTTTAAATTTACCACAAAAATGCAGAAATATCACTTTATATCCTTGTGTTTTTTAAATTGTTACCATTGACAATATAGTAAAACACCAATGTCAATACAATGGCACAATTTAAAACTATCCACCAGTCATTTATCTACATGAATAAATGCGTATCTATAAGTGTAGACTTGCATGTTGTCAATATAAGATTTTTGTAAATATCATTGCCATTAAACCGTAAATATGTGAAGATGATGAACTAAAAGTACCTGTATGAATCACTGTCTACTCACTAAAACATGACGCATGCCTCAGTGCCCAGATAAGCATTCAAACCCTCACAGTTATAAGCAGAGTTTGCATAATCGCAGTAGTATATATATTTATATATCTTACACATAAATGATGGTACTTTGCATGTACACTTGTAGTACTTGTACATGCAGAACTGAAGGTGTCGAGTACACTGTGATGTCATATAGGAGACGAAGGGACTACATACCTACACATTAGAGACACATTGCGGATACATTCATATATGTCAACACTTAATATGTATATACAGTATACATGTATATGCTATTATGTATACAGATATATAAGGTGGGCTGGGTTATGTTATGAAGCTTAGGCCCTACGCTTTCACCAGGGATGTCACCGTTTACATTTTTAGAGATTATTGTAAGAAAAAACTGCAGAATTTAATGTACTTTCAGTCAACCTGTCTAATTAAAATGACTCTAGTGTCATACATTTTGACTATATATATTTATATCTATGCATTCACTGTGTAACTTCTGAGGTGGTGAAGGGTCCAACACCTGTTTGTCTCCATGGAAATGCATGCTGCCAAAAATATTCTACAATATGCCATTAAATTTATCTACCACTTTGATTTAACAGTCTAATTTTTATAACGCTTTTCCACCATTGAAGCGTTCAAAGAGCTTCACATCAAGAAACCACTCACCCATTTATACGTCAATATTGTATTTAGCAGAGAATGCATTTATGTCAAGAGCGGGATTCAAACCATCAACCTTTGCATCAGAGGACAAGCTATTGACCAACTACATGAGGGCCTGTTTACACGAACGCTTGCAGGTAAAAATGACAAAATATTTTATTGGAAGTGCCTTCAATTAAGACTAGATATGTCAAAAATTTGGCCTGTGATATAATTATATTTGCCCCATGAGATCATGTCACATATGTATTAGAGCTGCCCGCTGGCTACAGATAGGCAATAGAGACATTAATTATTAAAAATTTAGTTATTATTTTAAATTCTGCTTATTCTGAATTCAAGGTTTGACATTACATATCTCGAAAGAAGAGAAAACATGCAGATGTTGTTGAAATTTTCAATATATATTTAGTTTGCCCTATGACTTAGTACTTAGTTGCCCTCAGAGAATTTGAGTTTGACACCCCTGGTGTAGATGGCGACGGCGTTTTTGGGGCTTAAAAACGTGAAAATCTGAAACCAATCTCTGGAAAAGTTGAATATGCTCCGCCGTAGCGTTTCCGTCTACACTGCCCAAGATGCAAAACTCTGGTCAGATCTGCTCACGTTGTGTACGTGTTTACGGCACATACATCACCACCTAGACACCTGGCATGCATAACCAATCGAATTCCACACACTTTTGCATCACCGTATGCACGCAGATTTCCTCCCGAAAACGGTCGTCTAAACGCGGAATAAAAAGTGAAAACGCGACGCCACTTTCTTCTTCTGTTCAGACCTTCATTATATAAACGTAGCCTCAGTGCCTCCATTTAGACAAGCAGGTGATGTAGGAAAACCCGCCACCAGAAATGCTACACAGTGCATCTTTAACTTTTTTGAAAAATACATTCAATTAAGTTCTTACAGTTATTTCGTGACATAAAAAGTCACGATAATCAATGAATTAATCAATTGGTCTTGACATCCCTAGTGTCCCTAGTCAAAAAACATTTTCAAATATGCATTCACAATTCTACATCTCACCACTACATGTACTACAGTTAAATACATTGATATAAGAAGTGATTATATGATTATATGGTGCCTATATGTAAGCACTACTATCTGTGATTACACTTAGATGGGGGAGTATTGACATATATTGCAATGTTTTGTAGAAAATCAAACTTGTGAACTCGTGTGCTTGGGGTTATAGGGTATGGCACACTAAAATGGTGGACACGAATGGCTGTGTCAGGCAGTGGATCCACTCTATGACAATGGGAGAACAGCTTATAACATTTATTACTAACACCAAACTCATGTGTAGTAATAAGGGCATGTTTATCTTAGGGTTATTCGGACAAAACTGACATTTGGTTTGAGTTTTAGGATTTTCATTAAAATGGGAGAAGTTGGAACCCGCTTCAGTAATGTAGGAAAATTACGTAAGAGTTAGGTTAAGTAAGAGTTTTTTACGATTTAAAAGTAACACTAGAATTGTGTAACCAACAGTAATGGTAACAAAAAAGTATATTTACTGTATCTTACCATTTTTAGGTTTTGGAGATTTGACAAAAAGGAGAGAATTAATATCAAGTTAGAACCCACTTCAGTGACGTATGAAAATTACATATTAGAATAAAAATGTTTACTATTTGGAAATAATTCTACATACAGTGACAGACTGCATATTTTGAGGCTATCGTTGCAATAACAGTTTACACGTGGCTGACACATACCGGACTAGCCAGTTTAATCCCAAACCTAAATTTGATTTAGGATTTGACAAAATTCATGAAGCAGGAGTACACGAATTCTTTAGACAACAATTCTGAATAATTTTGTAGTAAATAGGCGTCATTGCTGAACATATATTGTAGATTATGTGACAGCTAAAAGATATCAGGTTATTACTTTTTACTATACAGTATGTTTGTCGAATACTCACTGTTTTACTCTTTTGAAGTAGAGGATTTTGATTTTCACTGCAGAACGCCCGGTTTTTAGGTTTTTAATGGACTTCCATCAGGCGCAGTCCTACTATATGAACAGCAGAGGTCACTGTTCAGTTTCATTATGTCAACTACTTAAAGAGTTTTTGAGGCAGGTGTTTTCTCCAATTTACCATCACTACTACCTAGGCCATGTCCCAATTTTGTTTCCTAACTTCCTTGTCTCCTTTATTCCTTTGCTGTCCCTTAAAACCTACTTAAAATCTACTGAAACTGAATAATTGTAAGATACATTTCTCAGTTCAACCAAGGTATTTTACTTGGAATCACAATTGTTTTTTCCTTAATCAAGACATCATGAAGTCAAAGAGACAAGTAAACAGAACTGGGACAGGCTAAGTGCTGATTAAGATATAAAACATTTACAGTTTGTTGTGCATTGAAGACTAGTGCCCCCTTGGGCGTGGAGGACTCATTACAAGAATAAGGGTCTCAAAAAAGTAAGTGGAATGTATCTACTGTATGTTTAACTATCAAACATTATGAGACTTCAAATATGAACTGCTGGCAACAGGTCAGCGACTTTCCGGCAGTGGACACTATGGAATGATTGTGCTAATACTCTACTACAAATAAACAAATTAATAAAATAAATCTATAAATAAAATGATTATCAACACTTGTGGACATTGATTGGTGGAAACATGACAGTGGTTTAGAAAAGTAGAAAGAGAGAAAGAGTGAGAGAGTTTAAGAGATATTCCTTTAAACAGCAGCGTGGCTATGTAGGAGGAGTGTATCATGTGAACTGCTTTAAAATACCCCCATGTGAGTCAGTGCTGGTTTTGAGGTGGGGCCAGTCTCAAGGCATGATGGGAGGTCTCACTGCAGCGCTCGTCATTTGGTCTTGATTTTGGGCACCTCTCCGTTCAGCCATCCCTCCTTCACCAGTCTCTCATTGAGCTGGCAGAGTTGGCGCAGGAAGCCGTCGTTGGGGCCGATCTCCCTCTTGTGGCGGACCGTGGCCACTGCCTGCCGGGCGTCCATTTTGTGGCGAAGCATCAGGTACGCGATCACCATGGTCGGGGAGCGGCTGTAGCCTTCTCTGCAATGAACGTAGACCTTTCCTACAGAGAGAACATTGCAAAAGAAGGTCTGAAATAGAAGCAATTTATATATGTTAAATAATTAAAGGGGCTATACCTGATTTTTGAATATGTCGATGAGCGGACTGATTTTAATTTGTGTGTTTTAATAGTTTTAATTCTCTCTGAACATGGAATACTGTTGTTAGCGTGTTGTTTGTGAAATGTGCTCATGAACTCATCGAGGTGAGTAAATAAGATACTAGGAATGTGTTAGGAAAGTGAGGAACAAGTTTGGATTGCTGCAAACTGCCTAAAATGTACTAGTCGAAATCAGGTATGCTGCAGCGCAAAACATTTGAAACTCATTTGACCTAATTTGTTTGTGTGTCTTGACCAATGAAAGTAATACTATTATCAATATGTCAACTGTTACGTAGATTAGGTATACTGTATTAAGCAGAATATGAGTAGAGATGCAAATACTAGCATCAGATATCAGGTCCTGGATATTGGTTAAGGGTTCAGCAGGCCAATCAATTAATGTATTAAAGGTTCACAGTAACTTTACTGATGGAGATGTTATTGCACGCCTAGAATGTTCCACGCTCTGGCATTTAACACCTTGCATTTATTCAATTCCAGGAGTTTTTCTCAAAAATACCTTGAAAACATGCATTGTTACTGCAAGTAGGGTCACCTCTTCACAGATCTGAGCTATAACTAATATAACTTTACCTGGTTGTGTCACCTGTTTTTCTCCAGGAAAGAAAAAAATCTGTTTAATGCCATATAGTGGTAGTCAGGCTGGCGCCACCTAGTGTCTCTGCTCAATTTCATTTCTCTCCAGCGACTAGGTCAGAAATTGGAACACACAAGACAATTTGCAAGAACCCCGGAAGTTGTAGACCGCGCACTGACCAATCAGCGAAGAGTTGTGAAGCCATGACGTCAAACTCAAGCGTCTGTCTGGGTCCCTTTTGTGGAACAGCACAACAGTAAACAAAACACTGCAGTAGAAGAAGCCATACTTTCTGTGTTAACTATTCCTGAGATCGAGGATTTAAAGCCAAAACAAAGAGAATGTCTGGTGAATTTTATCAAGAGGAAAGACATTATTGTCTTGTTATTGTATTTTTTCTACAGGATTTGGTGCTTACATATGTCACGACCAAACAGCAGCGATTGGTACCCGCTTACCGTCAAGCGAACAAAGCCAAATGCTGCGAGGTGAGTCTGGCTAATAAAGCGGAACATTTTTGGCAAAATAATAACAGCTCCATGGAGACAAGCAGATGGTAGGCGTTCCACCAAAAAAGTTACACAATGCACCTTTAAAAGACTATACACTCCCCTGTTGAAATTACTATGGTAAGCATATTGTCAGCAAAATATAATACTGGTCTATCAAAATTGAGGAAAGAATATGATTTTTCTACATTTATTTTAGCACTCTGTCATAATAAAAATCATAATAGATCTATGGTCATACTTCTTGCAACATTTCCTTTATAGGTTTTGGCTTGACAAACTAGCACAGACGACAGACAGAGAACAGAACAATGTACAAAAGCAGCTACAATTTAAACAATGGAAAGTGCACATATGCCGGGTTTGATTCTGTCGACGCAGCAACTTGTGTCGGCCGGCAGGGGGAGGACATGCAAATGTTTGGCCCTGACCTCTGCTGCAGATGGGAAAAAGTCAATCATTTTCTGTTCCTCTGTATCCACCAACACACTGTGTCCTCCAAAATATGAGCTATAACTACAAAAGAAATACAGGCTATATATACTTGTGTTGTCATTAATAAACTAGAGATTAGAATTGGGTTATGAATATTTGTGAAGTTGCTACTGATTGGGCTATAATAATTTTATTGCATAATGTACAATGAAAATGAGATCCATCAATTTATGAATCAGAGAGAAAAATTGTCATTACAGTGAATAATGCAATAACCAATAGTTGTATGTTCAGTTCAATTGAAACTATAAGAAAAAAAAGACTATTAAAATGCATTTAAAAGGTTTAACTATAAATGTTTTCAATATTTTAAAGCAACAATGTGTAACTTTCTACAGGTGGCACTGCATGATTCCATGGAAATAGAAAGTTAAAACCTCCAAACTTTGGAGCATTCTTCATAGAGACAGACAAGCTTCATGCCATAGTGTAGAATATTACTAGCCTGATTCATCAGCCAGTTTCACTTTGTAGAAACCGTCTGACCTCACAGCATCAGAATTCGTTTGCTTCACGGTAGGCGGGTACTTTTTTTATTTAACCAATCGCTGCTATTTGGTCGTGACGTATGTAATGCACCGCTAACGAGGCTAACTGGTATATTAAGCTTTTCCCAAATCCTGTAGGAAGGAGGACAATAAGGTTTTTCCCCTTGATAAAATTCACTGAACATTCTCTTTGTTCCGGCTTTAAATCCTCGATCTCGGGAATCGTTGCCAACACAGAATGTCTGGCTTTTCACTGACTGGCTGGTGCCCGAACTCGCACTTCCGGGTTTTTTACAAACCGTCTAGTGTATTCTGATTCCTGACCTATTCGCTGGAGAGAAATGAAATTGAGTGGAGGCACTAGGTGGAGCCAGCCTGGCTAAAATATTACAGCCAAAAGCAACAACATTTATCTAGGGATAAGCAGGTAGAAGCCCTCCTCCACACCAGGTTTGTGGAGATGCAAGCCTGCGCACAGTTTTATACTTTTTCAGTGTAATAAAACATCCCAAATTATTCTATTTTTGTATATTTTTGAATACAAAGTTACAATGTAGGGCTTTAGATCATAAAACATATTAACTCCATGTATTAACAATGGCTCCTTTGTATGTAAACTTAAGTCTTATTGTGATATGGATACAACATTAGGTAATAACATTCAATCGTTTTTTAAAAATATTGACCAGCCATAACAACAATGTATGTTTGTTTGGAGCTCGCCCTTGTCTTGCCAATGTGACCGATCACTTTGTCGTCCCAAGAGACACAGAGTTTGTCCACGTATCAGGATCATATGAGGACCACGGGCCAGTCCAGATCTGCCCCATCTGCACAAAAGCTGTAACTCTATCCCCCTATGTGCCCCCCCCACCCCGTCTCTGTGCCCCCTCCTCTCATGGCTTTCCTCCTCCTCTCTGCATCCATCTCTGCCCTGAGTTTCCAAAGCACTGAACAGCCAGTGCTCTGTCAATGACTGACCTCTCCAATATCTAATCAGCCCTTCTCCATTGATCTATGCTGTTCTGCTGTAGCGTCTTGTTAAAGAGACAATATTTTAGGCTTAAAGTGTCACTCAGCTTTCTAAAGGTTTCAGAATGATGAGAGATTTTGGGCACCTCTCTCCTGAAAGTCTTGTGATCAAAATGAGACCGCTGTGTGCTGTGAGCATCTAGTTATAGGTTGTTTTTATTCTCCGCAAAAGAGGATGTGCACTGTTAGCATGTTAGTTGTTGTTGGCATGTTGTTAGCTCGTGTCTTTGAAACTTGTGAAACATGCTTATAAATAGGGCTGGGTATCATTAAGAAATTGCTCATAGGATACATACCTCGATACAGTGCACTTTTGGTTCGATATAATATTTCAAATCGATTCGATACAGTTCTATAAAAATAATGGTCAAATCATGGCTGTGATACTAAAAGTCTTTGTTAAACCACTTCTTGTGCAAAGTGAATATGAAACACAAACATTTTAATCACTGGAACAGTGAAAATGTCAAATGTGTCACATAAACGAGTTTCCTTCCACTAAACAAGCAAAAAAACAAACAAAACTGTAGCACTGTAACAAAATAAGTAAAATATACCAAACAATATTCTTGCCGATATATCGATACAGCAGCCCACGATATTAATACTGTATCATTAAACTATACAATATATCGATATTTTGACATTTTTGCACACCATGGGTGCAATTTCTTAGGAAATTGAGGAATAAATTTGGATTGTTGCCGTAATGATAAGTAAGAATTTTAAACATATCTTTTGAACATGAACAAGTCCTCAAAATATTCCATATGTCTGGAAGCTGGAACCCATGAACAACTCAAACACAGACTGAAAGAAAAGTGTTTGAAATTGACTATTGGGCAGCGTGCCTATGTTCCCTCAGCCTTATATTCTTTTTTTTTCTTTCCTGAAATTGGGCTCTATGTTCTCACATTTCCTTTATCACCAATTGCATCAGATTTGATCCCAATTTCTCACAGTTTGGTCGTTACACCCAACCAAATGCAATCCAGCAGCAGTTGAATACAGATGTAAAGATGTAAAGATGGTGCAAAGGATCCTAGGTTGAAATGACTCTGAATCATCCCTTTAAATGTGGTATAAAATAAAAATGACTTGACTTAGAGTTTAATTTTGAGAAAAATCTTACAAACAAGAAAAATCTTAGAAATGAGGGACCATAGGGCTGACCCCGACTACTGCATCAGAGCAAATTTGAGTAGGGATATTTGGGATATCTTCCTACATTGGTATCAACTCAGTACAGAAAAAATATATATTATAGTAGTGTATATTATATAGTGATAATAGGCCTATATGCTGAACAAGTCTACCTATATGTAATTCCCATTTGTCTTCAATTTGTGGGTCTTGCTATAGTCATAATCTAATTTTGCATATTACATATTATCTAAATTAATGAAACACATGTGTATCTTCCACCCATTTGAAATACTTTGCTTCTTTTAAATTTCAGAAATACTGATGAAAATTGATGAGTTACAGATGTGTTTTACAGAATAAACCAATTATTTGTTCAAAGGATAAATATAGGAGTACATAATTTAACTCGGTAATAAAAACATTCTTCACTGCTCTCCTCATCTTACACCTGTCTTCCTCTTTGGTCCTAATGGAAGACTTTGGTGTGAGGAACATTTGCCAAACCTGACGGAGAGTTAAGAGCCTCCTCTGTCAGAGCTGATGGTAAATCAATACAGGAAAACATGGTTCAGTCTCTAATTAAACACAGCTCGTGAGAGAAGACCGATGCTTTCACTATAAAGGGAAACAAGGTACATGGACTGGACTCATATATTGTACATTATTTTAGTCAGTCAGATTCCGTCTGTTTTTGTTTTCAGTAATTTTGTTGAAAGGGCTGCACATACATTGCAATAATAAAATGCTGGCAATACAGAATATCCAAACATGAAACTAAAATGTGTGGGATTCTTGTAATAGTTTAGTGGATTGGATTTCAGTCTTTTTCCAAATAAGAACATGAAAAACGAGTTAGAAAAATCGCAACTAGATTTTTTTCCTAAAACTGTGCAGCTCTACTATCATGTTTGAGATTTTAATGATTTACTTACAAAATTTTCAGGGGAGGGTCCACCACCTGCTAGTTTGCCTGAAATGTTCCGTACTATGACATTAAACTTATCGTGTTTCAAAAATAAGATGGCATTATACTTGTGTTAACTGCTTGTGTTATAGATTTTTAATGTCAGTTTTTTATTTATTTATGAATTCACAATTATTTGAACAGATGAATTAGTTGGATAACAGTTTTCATTTTGCTTTTGCCATCAATAGAAAATTCTGAGAACAAATCTAATAAGTCTAAAAATAAATCTAAGACCTGGGTTACATTTGGGATACATTAAAGGTTTCATCCACGTTTAGTCCTGATCTAGGCTTAGTTTGGTCCTGTTTTTATCCCGGTTTAGTTCCTACAGGGCTGTATGCAGGACCTGTTGTCATCCAGGACAAAGAGCTGTGTTATATGGAGCAGCACTCAGGAGGGAGTCACATTTAGACAGAGACTCATTCAGGCTAATGCTCCATCTTCACCTCAGAGACTGTTAAGACACTGACTGAGACACGTCATGTGTGGGACAACAGAAGAGAGAGTTGGTTGTTAATTGCAGTGTTGCTTCAGGGCCCACAGCTTGCATGCTTTTATAAAAGAAAAATAATAATAATATCCTAAATGTAATAAGATATACATGTTATATTTACTTTTTGTGTGTGTAATTTCCAAATTGATGGACCTGTGCCTTTGAAAAATGTGCACCTGAATAATTTGTGTGGTGTTTTTATTTGGTAATCTGTGCATTAGGTCTGTAAATTACACAACGGGAAAATCTATAACTGAGAAATACAAATATTTGACAAGACTGTAATTTTTGTAATCAAATATTTTGTTGAAATTTACCTATAAGTCGCACTTTTTTTCATGGTTTGGGTGGTCCTCCAGTGCAACTTCTATATTAAAATTTTCACACTGACACTGCTGTGAGAGGCTCTAGACCTGTGTGTCAGTATCTGCTGCTCCTATTACTCCTGTACCACTGTCACTTTGCCCTCTACTGCGCATGTCTCCTGCAGAAAAAGTCTCTGTCCTCCTGCAAGTAGTGAAATATCCAGAAAGAAAGTTTGGAGTGAGCGAAAAACTTTTGAGGGACTGGCGGAAAGCGGGTATGGAGAACACAGCTTCACAGTCACTGGGAGGGTGCACCATGCAACTTTCCTGGAAGTCATTGGATGGATCGACAAAGCCTGGACTTCAGTGCCACTGAAACCATTCTGTCGGGATTCAGAAAGGACGGAATAATTCTAACTGGAACTGATGCTGAGTCTGACGACAGCTACACAGAAGAGGAAGCTCTGTTTACCTCGAGAGGTCGCGGAGTTGCTCAGAAGTGACACTGAGGATGAAGAATTCAATTGATTTAGTGATTTAGAGTGAGATGGAGAGTTTAGTAAACTTTTTCGTTTTTTCGTTGTTTATGTTATAGTTTAATCTGAAGAACTGTTCATATGTGACGTTAACAGTCTGTTGTTCTCTGTTCTGTTGTTATTACTAGAACTTGCCTTTCAAAATGAAACGTTGGTTCCTGGTCTCTGATTTTATAAAATAAATTTCCCCCAAAAAGTGCGACTTAAAGTCCGGTGTGACTTATATATGTTTTTTCTTCTTCATTACGCATTTTTTGGCTGGTGCGACTTATACTCCAAAGCTACACATTTTTCGCTACTGGATGTTTGTTTTGGTCTAAACAAGCACACGTTTTGTGTGCCAATTTAAATTTTTTTCTTAACCATCACTGCTATGACATCAATTCAAAACACAAAACACCAGTCTAACTCAATGTGTCTTGTATATTTGCCAAACCTTTGCTGTTATTGTGCGCTAGTGCCTTGTCGATGAACTCCGCCCCCTCCTCGAAGTAGGCACTGAGGTTGAACTGCTCGGTGTCGTTGGCCGAGATCCCGTGGTATGTGATTCCTGTCCCCGCGTAGAACTCAGCGCTGGTATTCACGTGCATAAACGAAGTCCCCTCCGCCACGTTCAGCACATGAGTCACTCCCAACTTCTGCAGGCGCATCGTGTTCTGGGCCACAAAGCTAAAAGGACAAAAATACAAGTTCAGTGTTATCAGTGGAGCAGTGGAGGGCAACAAGTAACCTCCTTTTTAAAGTATTTCTGCTTACAATGGTGAAAAGTAGACAAGATTTTCAAAGTACTACAAAAGTGAAACTAATATAGATCTTTGTCAGCACAGGCTAGTTGTCTGAGTATTATGTTGTTGTAGCCAGTAGCCTTTATGGCAGCTATATACAGCCCATTACAATGCATTAGAGTGAGAGCTGTGTTAGCAACATCTGTATTAGAGCTGTGTACAAAAGCACTCAGGGAGACTGGACTCAATACAAGAGTTTTTTGTTACAGAAGAACAATTGTAAAATCTGTTTCTGGCTAAAGAAATGTTTTCAAAGACAACCATTTAAGAACCACACACTGAAGTGACTTTTTGTGACAGCAAAATGTTTTCGATAAACAAATTAGTAATCTTAATCTTTTTTTTTTTGTACACCTAACAAATTTTATTTTAAAATATAAGTTTAGTAGCTACAGTGGCTATGGTTAAAAACTCACCAACATCTTATTATCTGTTTTTAGACATTTGAAATAACTTAAAGGACATGCAAACTGCACAATTTTGTGTGAGTGATCAGAGGCTCAGAAAGAAATCAGATGATTTTGCTTCTTACATTTTATTTTAATTATCCTTTATCTGATAATAATCAGATAATAATCCGATTTTGAGTGAGCATGTAACCACAGCACATGATGAAGATTTTGTGTTACAATGAACGATCTGTCCTTCACTTTTCAGTCGTTTCACTAATATAACCAAAAAATGTATTGTTAACTTGATGACTGTTATATGCAGCAGCTTTATACAGGAGTAAATATTTTGCTCATAACCAATAAAGAAAGCACAATTTTGTGACTTTATGAGGTTCTTCCAGAAGCCAATCAGGCCGTAAAGATCCAGGGTAACAAAGCAGAGGACAGAGCCTGGCCCTGGGCCATGGGACAGTGATACTGTCCAAGCAGAGACAGAGAGAGGTCCAGATATCGACCACATCTCCTGTTTCAAGAACTAATGCTTCATGGGGCGTTCAGTGTTACTAATTAGCACATCTGAATTTATACTAGCAGTAAATATAGTAGAAAAATCTTTAAATTAATAGTCAATGTATTTTATAAAAATGATTAACCAATGGGATCACAACAACACGGAGGAAAATAAATAATTTATGAAACAATGACAACAGTGTTATAACCAAGAGACATATTTCAGAGGGGAGAGCTGGGAGATATGGAAAAAAATTTGTTATCCAAATGATTCTTGTGCAATTTGTATCTGTCTCAATTTAATAACAAGATTCATAAAAACAAGGCAGACTTTGTATTTGTACCTCTAGAACCATTAAGTCTTCAACAAACAAACAAACAACACTCCAAACCAAAACCTGTTATAATCTACAAACAATTAGATCTCTATTGCATTACAATATCATTAACTGCCGAGCCCTTAGTCTAACTGGTGCATACTGCCATTGTGTCCCTGAGCAAGACACTTCACCCAACAACTTGCCTGTGTAATGAATGAGAGTGATGGTGTTTGGAGGAGCTGTTGGCTCAGATTGGCAGCCACGCTTCTGTCAGTCTACCCCAAGGCAGCTGTGGCTTCAGAAGTAACTTATCAAAATTCATACAGAGTGAATGAATAAACATTGAATTATAAATATAAAACTAATTTGAGCCTCTGGAAGTGATGAAAATGTGATTATTTTTGTGTAATTATTCTTGTTTAATAGTATTTATATTCTGCTCCATACATTACAAATAAAAATGTATGTGTCTATTAAAGCTTGTAGTGATCCTTTTGATACAACTCAAAGAGGCACATTCTGTGAAACCCAAGGCTGCTGTGCGTGTCTATATCTGGCTCTATCAATAACTGAGGCGAGGACGGTGACCTGTACCAATCCCAAGAGGCGCCGCTGTACCATCCAATAAAACAACACTGCCTTGTGAGAGAGAGGGAGAGAGAGAAGGAGAGAAGGAGTGAGGGAGGTAGGGAGAGAGAGAGTGAAGAGAAAGGGTGGGTAAAGGAAAGACAGGGAGAGAGAGGACAGAAGGCGGGAGAGACAGAGATAATGAGAGAGAGGAGAGAGGGAGAAACAGAGAGAAGAGAGGAGCGTTCTTGTGTCATGTACAGGGCAGCATACAGCTCTTCATCCGTCTCCTCTCTTCTGTGGACATTTAGCCTGAGCACTAAGCACACACACATCTGACTGAAACACATGAATGATGTATAAGACTCAAGCACTCGGCCTGTGTGGAGCTGAACCCTGTACACTCTGCATAAAGAGCTATAGGAGAGCCAGTACTAGAGATGCGTTATCATAATGGAGTCTAAATTGTGATTCAGTTGCAATTAGTAAGCCTGTCACGATAACACATTTTGAAGCGTGATATGTTGCTACGAGATACTGAGATAAACGATAATACTGAAATTACCTTACCACTGACACAATGACAATAAAGTAAGATAATCCCAGTAAACCATTTTTAAACAGACACTATGATTCAAAAAACATGAGCTGCAACAAATAAACAGCAGAATAAATGCATGAATAGCCATAGAAGCTCTACAGCTCAAATCTCATTGTATTACAACAAAAATACCCCAGATCTCCACAATTCCATGTGTGTACACAGTAAATACTAAGACCCAAAATATACTGATCCAGCTTTGATTTATTGAAGGATAAATCAATATATTAATTATTGTGACAAGGCCAGCACTTAGCAAATACATAGTGTATGTTTATTGCCATACTGTGGAACATTCTAGACAAAACATCTTCATGGAGAAGCAGAGAGCTTACATAATGAACCTTTAACATCAGAAGCACGAGTGTACACGAGGCTACACTAAGACCTCAAGTCTCTATTCTAATTGTATGCAATGGCATTAATAATAAAAGCTGTTTAATTAATAATGCCGTGGTCAGACTACTTCTGAAATATGCCCACTATACAGTACTTTCCCCGTGCAAAAGTACATTGAGTTCATCTGTGTGCGATGGTGCGTTTGTTGTATTCACCTGGATAGGCCTGGCCTCTGTCCTCGCCCTGCGATCTGCAGTCCCATAACATCTATTATTTAACATGAGCTGAGCAAGAAACAAGTGGCTCTTAAAACAAACAGCCACACCTCCAGCTGCTCCTGTGTGGACCTTTACAAAGACATTACAGGCTGTGCAGTCACAGCTTCATGATGGCATGACCAAAGAAGATAGTGTTTTTAATGGGGCTAAATCTGGACTCCCCAAACTCAGACCAAAACAGTGAAGGTCCTATATTAAAAATTACTGACTCTTGTGAGCTTTAGGCCAGATTATAAGGTTGCTATCCCATCAGAAACAAACCTGGATTTGTGTTTTGTTTTGTTTCATTCACACGTTTGAGTAACTCTTATTAGTCTGTAAGAGATTGGATGATTTCAGTTCTGGAATTGCCAAACAATTATAGTAAAGTGTATGGAACATACACATACATTAAGAACAAGATCAAGATGAAGATCGAGATCAAGATCAGAAAATAGCACCATATGTGCCCTTTAAGGATGACTTTACAGTAAAAGTCTGAAGCAGAGAGTATAGTTATTATTACATACAAGTCCAAATCCAACACATGCACAATGAGTCAAATCGTCCAGCTAAGTTAGACTAGTTCTAATCAAGCCTCCAGCTCAAGATCTGTGTAGTACGTCGGGACCAACTGCTCCTGCCATGTTACCCCAGCACCAGTGAAGACATATTTCCCTAAAGGGACAAGAAATAGTGTACTTTAATTAATTAAAACAAGAATAAACATGCCCTATGAATACTGCAAGTTGCTAGAACTTGCTATTCCTGAATTGAAATGGCTACTGATCAAAAGTAAAGCTTTTTGTAATATTGTACAATCAGTTTAGATTGAAAATAACTGACCATAATCAGGACTAATATATCAGATTTAATGGTCACATACATTTTTAAAGGCACTGTATCTGACTGAATCATCTTATGAACATGAAATCAGAACTAGCTCATTTTAAACAGATTGCAACCAAATTATTCACAGCGAAAAATTTATTAGCGAAACAAGATGATAATAACACACACATATTTACAGACAGGCTCCCAATGTTACTTCCTGGTTTGAAGTCTGGTTTTACAGTAGTCCTAGACATGTGTACTAGGACAAAACAAATTTTACTTTAGGCTACATAAAAAATAAGATACAGCCCCTTCATAAAACTGGAAAACAAAACGATTAAAATAACCCGACTGCCTGAATGATTTCATATGTTATTCTTACTCTACTATAGCCCACATTAGTAGATGCTGTAGAATAGTGCTGACCAATAGTGCATTTGAAGTAGCACAGAGCTGGACTAATAAGATGCCTCAGCACAGACTTAGAGCATCCCAGTGGACAGAGAACAGGCTTTAGTCCACCATCGATCTCTTCTGCTCCTCAGCCATTTGTAATATCTCATTAGACCTTCACTACAATGGGGACAGCGGTAATCTCATTAAATACAACTTCTGGTTTATTAATTTAATTATTTAGCCTCCATTTTGATAACCTGGACTAGCTCTTATGCAATGGTGTGAAGGCACAAGTTGGACATAGGTAACTTTAATTAAAAAAAACATATTTTATTTGTAAAGTTTATTATCCGTAAATATGTCTGTGTGTTATCATCACCCTGTGTCATCTCATCTCATCTTGATTTAATTTCAAAATGCCTCAAGAAGATCCATGTTACTATAGATCCAGACCGTTCTAAAGACTAGGAGACGTCCTACTTAGTCTGATTTTAGACTTAGACCAGATGTGAGTAAGGAGAAACAGTGCAAAGAAGAAATAGTAAGGGTGTAACAATATCCAAGTGTCACGATATGATATCGTCACGGTAAGAACCTCACAGTAAGATATTTATTGCGATATCTTGGGAAAGCTCACGATATGGTGGGGAGACTCATGATTAGGGATGTAACAATATCCACATGTCTCTGTACGATATTTTCAGGATATACATCTCACAGTACGATATTTATTGTGATATTTTGTGCTACTTTTTCCTCTTAAGACATAATCCAAAGAACTAAGACTTAAAAGTGCTTAGAACTGTTATTTGTTCTTGTAGTCTGCACTGAAATGGAGCAAAGGATCATGGTCTATGTAGTTCCCTCTGTTTTTTTTTTTTTTTTAGCTATTGCTGCATCATAACTCTTAATTTGAGCAGAGAGACTTGTAATTCGATATATTGTGATGGTCCACGATATTATTGTGAGAACTTTGACGATTCGATATCACAATATTTCGGTTATTGTTACATCCCTAGGAAATAATGATTGATATGACATAAGGCTGTTGTACAGTTGTATATAATATGGTATAAATGTAACCTTTACCTCTATGCTATTTATGTGATAGTTTTCAGTATTAATAACTAATTTTGATACTATGTGTATTGATTAGTATTAAAGATTGAGCTCTATGTTTTTGTTCACGGTCGATGCCGATACTGATTTTGTGCAGTGTCCTCTCCCCATTAAAGTGTTCAAATAAAGCATTATGCATGTTTTTAGGCATCTGGTTAGCAGACAAAATAGCAGCCTTTGCAAGAGATTTCTGATCTGTGTTATAAAGTTGTTTCCTCATCACAAACATGTCTGGAGTTGTGTTTTGTTTTGTTCACACATGTTTAATACACAAATCCTGCATATTTAGGCTGAGCTGTTATCTCTTCAGAAAAACGCTCTAGGTTGTGATGTCATGTGGTAATACAAGTGCTCCAGTGTGATTTAATCTCCATACACTTTCACTAGAATCATTTCAGCCCTGGAATTGCCGTTCTTTTCTAAACAAATGGTAAAAAGTAGCTGTTGGCAACTACAACTACATGACATCATAAGGTGGAAAGGAGCTTTTTGAGCTTTGGAGATGTAGACAGACTAATAATAAAGATTTATTCAAACGTGCGTGAATGAAACAAAACACAACTCCAGGTGTGTTTTTGATGACATAACAGCATTATAAAATGCCTGAAAGCTCACAGGAGTCAGTTATGGATATTACTGGACCTTTAAAGCTGATAGCTGATATGATAAAAAGTGAAAATATCAGTCACATCTGTCAGTGTCTAATTAGTAAATGGATATCTATATCTATTATTTGGACAATTCTAGTGACCAGTAATGATAAAGCACTCAAGTCTGTCTCAGACCAGCCAGATTGGCACATCCACATTGATGTTGTCACTCTCAGAGATACAGTAAAGTGGTTGTATACGGCTCTGACCTCCCCCCTCCTCCCTCTCTGCAGCAGGCACCAGTGCCAAAAGATGTACCAGAGACAAGCCAAGTTCATCCAGGCCATCAGACAGTTGAGAAAAACTTCCAATTCTGAATACAAATGTGAAATAGCTCCTTCAACAGACCATTTACCACAAGTGGACTGCACAATATTTAGCAAAATGATTGTACTACAGCTACTACAAAAAGGCTACATAATAAAATTGATATAACACTGAGATGGAGATTTATTTTTTGGAAATGAATTCCAAATATCTTCAAATTTAAAAAGCAATATTTAGGGTGCAATCACACATGCATTCGGTCTAAACCTGAAAGTAAACCTGGACTAAACCTGGACTAAGCCAGGACTACTACAACACCAAACCAAATTAACATTATGAATCAAGACTAGTACCAAAAAAGACATCATAACACCCTTTGGTTATGATTTTTGAGATTTATAGTTAATAAGAAATATATGTTTTTGTTAATTTAATTACTGGTAAAATTTCTGTGTCAAGAAAAGTAAAAAAAAAAAAAAAAAAGCAATTGAATAGTGCTATTGTAAAACAGTGTAGCTCTAACCACAATTGCAGAATAAAAAAACTGATTACTTCTATCCTTTACCTTGTAGGCCTATTTCTCTGTATTGCTATTGGAGATTAAATTTGCCAAACCTTGTTTTCAGTGTGTCCTGGGAACTGGCCTAACAGGAATATGATGCTGTAAATTCCTGAAGAGTCAGCATGTTCATTACAGAGCCAATAGTTCACCATCAACCAACCAGTAGATTTATGTCTGTAGCCCTACTATGGTTAATATACAACACCATGATGTATGAGTGTGCCCTGCAGGAGGGACCGTGCATGTGACCATTACTTGAACTCAAGGCTACTACACTATAACCACTGCTGCTCACACTAGACCCATGGATTAAAGATTGAGGGCCAGAAATGTTAAGAGATGTTAGGTTTACGAATAACATGGGCCTACTGAAAGAAGAGAGTTCACAGATGGAAATGGTTTAATCACATCTACAGCACGGTCTATTCACCATGATAGTGTCGATAATTCACAAGAGGAAAGTGCTAGCTTCATTGATGGCTTCATTATGTTGGACTTCATGAATAGAGTCTACATCGCATTTTCCTCTGCACGTTTCTTGTAATTTTAGGTGCATTGTATCAGTTATGTCTCCAGACCTGACACATCACCTGAGTCGACAATGGCAGCACATAAACACTGGGCAGAAAGGATACAGAGTCTCCCACAGCTCGGAGCATGCACTGGGCTTCGCTCTGTGGGTGACAACAGGCTGTCGCTCGTGAGTCTCCCGCCCTGTGCGCGTGATCTGTGCGTGATCCGTGCGACATGCGCCACTGTTGTCATTGTCTGGAGCTGTAGACCTGTTTCACCTGTCACTGAGATGCACAGATAAAATGACGCACGACTTACGCGTTTCCGATGTAAATCCGTGGGTAGACTTCGTTGAAGTGCTGCGTGGGGAGTTGGTAGAAGCCGCTACCATCCGACACCAGCTCGTTGAGTTGTTGAACGGTGATCTCTCCGCTGTGCGCGGGGAGCACGGCGGGAGAGCACGGCCGCGGTGGCAGTTTGCTGGGGCTCTGGTGTTTCTTCATGTCGCCTCTCCTCGGAGCTCCAGGTGCTTGAGTTCCGCGGTCAGACTCGCGCTCCTTTCCGTTTCATCTCTGCTGCATATTTAGCTCCACACGTGAGTCGTGCCTGGCTCAAGGTGTCTCCCAGGCGCGAGCTCCACGGCATCCATCAAGTCAAGCGCACTGGACTGGGACTGTACTTCCGGTGCGGATTTCAAAATAATAGCATAAAACGGAAATACATTTGCAAGGCTACCGTCTATACACTGCACATCACAATTCAATTATCTATTATGTTCTTAAAGATATTCTGAAAGAGCATGTTGAGACATAACACATCAAATAAATAATAAGACACATGGAGGCTATACTTTTGTCAAAGCCCGATTCCGTCAGATCTCAGAAGCTAAACAAGGCCGGGCCTGGTTAGGACTTGGGAGAGAGACCAATGGGAATATCAGGTGCAACACTGGGGCGCAAATCGCATAAACTGTTATTGTGTCCTTAGGCAAGGCACTTCACCCACATTGCTTCAAGTGGTGTGCGTGAGCCGCTGGAGGTAGGTGGGGATCCATTTCTATGTCCATAGCCCTTCGGGCGGTTCGGCCAGAGTCTGGATTTTTCCAGGCAAGCATTATAATAAAAGTGTAAAACATTAAAAGGGAGTCTAAAAACCTTTTGAGGCGACTCTAGAAGCTTGTCACAGATTTTGGTCATCAAAAAGTTGTTAGTGTTAGGTTGTTAACTTCACAAGGATTTAACACCAAAAATGTTTGCGGATCATTGTGAGTAAACTCAGAATGCCTGACGCCCAACGCAACGAGCTCAAACAGTACACGTAAGAAACACCAACTTTATATACGTTTATTATAGCATAACCTATTTAAGTTTATAGCAGGGTTACTCAAAGGTGCATTGTGTAACTTTTCTAGATGGAGCCCACAACCGTTTGTTTCCATGTGGATGTTAATGCTTTGGTTTAATTTGTCCACAGTATGGTATTAAACTAATCTGTCTTGCATTTATTCAACTACAAGTGTTGCACCTGCACGTGACAGACACACCAGCAAATAAGTTACACAATGTACCTTTAAGGTCAACTAAACGATTTTTGTATTGTTTATCATTGTTTTAAAAAGCAATGTAAGTTTGTTGTTGTTGTTTTTTGCTGCTTCTTTTACTTTGTACTATTACTTTCTAATCAGATCAATTCTTTTTATTATCTTCAAATAATAAAAAACAACACTAGAGGTCACTATAGAGCTATGTAAAAATGCAATTCTGTTTTTACTGATGCTTTTACGAACACACGGTCAGCTTTTGTTAAATAAAGCTGAAGTTTGTAGTTTTAGTTTTATTATAGCTGAAATTATTGAGTTAAAAAGTATATTAAAATATGACAATAATATTAATACTGCAGTTCTTCACAGCCATATCACTAAATTTTCCAATATTGTGAAGCACTACCTGGTACAAATCCTCCTGCTCCGAGAGATCAGAGACAAAATCTCAGCAGGTCTGTTAAAGGTGCACTGTGTAACTTTTCTATCATGATGCCCAGATGATATTGCTGTACCTGTAATGTTCCACTTCTAATACAGTACTAAATTTATATCTGATGCATTTATGCATTTTTTGTTTTTATTGCTCAAAACCACCTTTAAAAAGATGCATTCTGATTGTGAATATTGGACTTAGGAACATTGGAGGTAAAACAATTACATCTCCATGGAAACAAGTAACTGGTGGGCCCACTATCAAAAAAGTTACACAGTGCACTTTTAATAAGAAAGTATAAAGAATAGTATCAGTTAGGGGTGTGCAAAAATATTGAAATATCAACATATCGTATCATTTAATGTGATGATACAGTATCGATATCGTGGGCTGCTGTATCGATATATCGCCAAGAGTATTTTCTTAGTATATTTTACAAAAAATATTTTGTTACAGAGCTACAGTTTTTGTTTAGTGAAAAGAAACTAATTTATGCAACACGTTTGACATTTTCATTTTGATGAGTAAAATCAGTGTGTTTTATATAAACTTTACACAAGAAATGGTTCAACAAAGACTTTTAGTATCACAGTCATGATTTAGCCTTTATTTTTTATTGAACTGTATTGAATTGATATGAAATATATATCAAACCAAAAGTGCACTGTATCAAGATATGTATTGTATCAGCAACTTCTTAATGATACCCAGCCCTAGTATCAGTATACTGGAAGAGCTAATGAACCCTATCAGTCTATGTCATGTAACTTTATATAAGATCATATAAATTAGCCAAAACTAGGAAACTCATGTTTCAATTCAAATTTTAGTGTTATTTTGTGAGAAGAAACATCATTATTAAAATGAAACAAAACTTAACAGTGCTCTAACGGTATCAATTCAGTTTTGTCTTTTAAGGTTGCATTCACACGTAGGCCTACAGCATTAAAATAGGACTATATCTAGCCCTAAACAGGACTAAACCAGGACTACAATGGGACTAAACCACATTGGGTTCAACCAGGACCAAACCAGAACCAAAGAGAAGCACCTACACACTGTTAACCTGCCTGTCACTTTGCTTCTGCCCAAGAACTACAGATGAAAATAAATAAGTGAATGCGGCCAAATATGCAACGTATAACTGTATACCTGTAGGGGGTGTGAAGCTATCTGAAAGCACTGCTCTGTCTGAAGCTGTTACTCAAATTAGACTTAGAGTAGTAAGTTAGTCTAAGATTTATTTTAACACAATCTGACCAGAAAGAGCTACTTAGTTAACAAGCAGTCACAAGCAGTTTTTCCACTAGTAGTTCTCATCTTTTTGCTTAAAATCAAACACCTAATCAGGACCATTAATGCTCATCGTGATCATTTTGTATCTTTCCTTGAGTTTTCAGACTATCTCCTATCAAGTTTGGCCATTGCTGCTGTTTTGGTTAGCAGGTAGGACACAGGACCTGAACTCTTCAGAAGTCATAAAATAAACCTTTATTTAAATGTCTGCATTGTGTGTACATTTCATTTGGTATGTATAATATATATTGAAACTATATTGTGTTATATCTATTGCTCGTTACATATTTCATATTAAAAACATTTAAATTCCATATTTTTCTTTCAGTGATTCCACCGCTTTTATATACTCAGCTTCAGCTTCTTCTTTAGAGAGTCCTGTAACATTGAAAAAGTGAAAAAATATGGTACACTGTTAACAAAATATCAATTTTTTTTTTTTTTTTTAAAGACCGCAAAACCCTCCTACCTTTCTTTGCGTTCCATGCATTCCATTTCTCTTTTGCCACAAAGCTAAACATTCCTGGCGCCTCTGGAAAAAACAAAGCTGTTGTTACAGTTCATCTGTATTTGGGTATTAAAGGTGCATTACATAAATTCTCTGATCAAGAGTCCACCACTTGGTTGGAGATGTTACTTGCTTAGCTGAGAATGTTTCACAGTATGGCATTAAACTTTTCTATCTCCATGGAGACAAGCAGGTGATGCCAGGTCAAGTTACACTGTACATAGTGAAGTAACATGAAGTACCGTATTCCCTATATTTTATTTTATTCTGCTTGTACATAGACGATAAGTTCCAAATAAGTCCCTCACCAGCTCAAATAGTGGATCCATCTATCACTACATCTACAGAAAAACAAATATGAACAAGAAAGAAATGTGGAGTAAGTAGAACATTATAAACTGAATAATACATTATTTGTGAATAATTGAGAATTTCTAAAAGCTAAGAAGCATTTTTATGGAGGCGACTTCATTGGGTACTGCAATGATAGTGGTGGGTGTACAACTAATCTAAAAAAAAAAAGAAAACAACTGTGTGAAATAAAGCATTTTTGTTCACACCTCACTGGCACATTTTGCAAAAGTGCCAGTGAGTAGCTACAGAAATGAAAAAAAATCCTACTTAGGCAAATTAGATTTAACTTCAGAGGCCCTGTACTCCATTATTCCCAGGTTGTCTGTTGTCAGTGCCTTTAAGAACCACCAATTTGTTCTAGTCAGAAAATTGTCAGTAATTATAGTGTACAAAATTAATCTGGTCTCTGTCTTTGTCTGATTTTTGTTTCTTTCACACATCAGGACTAAAGCAGAGCAGAGTGGTCAGCCTGTAGATGTGGGGAGGGAGATCTTCATAAACATGTGCACAGCTTTGACCGGCTGTATCGCAGACTCCATCATTAAAGACGTGTTCGATTCATCTGAGACCTGGTTGGACGATCCAGACAAGGCCTGGTTAAAGAAGAACTTCACTCTGGAGTCCTTTAAAGTATGAATATGACAGGTTTTCAAGTGTGTTTGTTTTTTAAATAATTATTACTTTGTTGGATAGTATCTGTATGGTAAATATTTCTCATAGTTTTATCAGTTAAAGTGTCAGTTTATGAAGAGATTTTTGATCAGACTAGCCGAAAACTGCATTTTCTTGACAATTTAAACCTTAAGCTATCAAAATAAAAGTGTTGTCATGTATTTTTAGAAGTGAAGTCATGATTATTAAGTAAATTAAACAAGCTTTGGCCATTGTTTACAGTGTGGTTGCTCGGGCTACATACAGTATGTTGTATCAGCTGCCCATGTCCAACTAAGAAGTACAATTATAAACCTCAACAAAATAGTCAAACTATGAAAAACTAGGTAAGATTTATAGTTAAATCTGAAAAATAATTATGTTACAATGTGTTCCATTAGTAGAGGAGACTATGTTGACCACCCTAAAAACTAGCTGAGCAAAAAATTGTAAAACAAATAATAATTTATGATTGTAGCGTTATTTTTAATCTGTAATCACTGTTTTTTTGTTCAGTAGAATCAGTAAGTGAAATGTATACACCAAAATATTGCATTAAATAAAATGATTGAAATATGATGTCAATTCTGTTCTATTAAAATGTGTAGTCTAACCTGTGATTTGCACTTTCAGAAGAATCTAAAGAAGAGGAGACAAACTAAAGATTCCCAAACATGTGAGGAACCAGTCAGAATTCCAACGGAGCTGAGGCACAACATCATGGAGAAGGTTCAGGAGGTTGTGGAGAAAAACTAACAGAAACTGATCCCCTTCGCCTACACTGCAGTCGCTTACTACGTCCAAGCAGCTCAAGAAGGAAAAGCCAGGGCTCACAACGCTCAAAAGCACATCTCTGAAACCAAGAGAAGTCAAGACGCACATGAATGCAACAAGACAGTTCCTCTGGACGCCGAGAAGAAAGAGCATGAACTATCATTGACAAGTGGTACAGAGAATATGCGTGAAAAACCCAAATTGGCAACTCTGAAAACCTCTCTCCCGCCAATTCAAGAGGACAGAGCAAAGAACAAACCAGACGCTGCCACCTTGAATTCTCCTCTCGCTCCAAACAACCAGCAAGTCCATGATAACATTGCGTTCTCACCAGTGACGCCTTCATCGCTGTTGGTGGTGAGTGTGCAGTTATAATCCTGTGTTTTGTTTTTGTATTGTTATCCACAGGTTCCACAATGATAAAAAATTAAGACCATTGCCAAAGCGATTAAGAGTTTCATACTGTCGATTACTTTTAAACTTTGACCCTTGGCTATTGTGATCAGGTGAATGTGAATACAGCAGTAATTTTGAATGTACATTTAGTTCCCATTCATTCCTTTCCTGCGTATTTAAAGGTGCACTATGTAACATTTGTGGTGGAGGGTTCGGATGTTATTTCTTTGCCTGCCCAAATTACAAATCATATCTGTAGAGTTATCAATGTATCATTTAGCATGATACATTTAGATAAACAAGCAGAGAAGAGTTGCTCGATTATGGAAAAAATCATTATCACAATTATTTTGGTCAATATGGAAATAACGATTATTCAAATGATTATTTTTTAGTTATACGATGCATTCATTCAGCATTTCTCTCCCAAAAAATACTTTGTTATTGATAATTCACATAAAGTGTTCAAATTGAAGGCTACAAATATGTACCTTAGAGCAGTTTTGCAATGTATCAAACATAAAATGTTTGATACATTGGCCGCTGTGGAAGAGACTGATCAGCTGCTCCTGTGACTGCAGCACCAACCCCCCTCCAAAGTAGATCACCAGAAAGTTATGTGGTGTAGCTTTAGTTGGTTACACGTTTGGCACCATTTCATATTTTTTGGAGCCATTTTCAATTTACTGTGCAATAAAAATACACTTAAAGAGCTAGGCATTTCTGTTCTGATGGTTATAACGATATGAATGAATGTTATTATTGCTAAAACTGCAATTTTCAAAAAGCAGTCTTGTTAAATCATTGAAATGACAATGAATTCCTGATTTTTGTCAAAATACTTTTATATTATCTACAAGGGGTGGGCGATATCTCGATATTTTTTAATATATCCAGATTTTTTAAAAACTCGATATGAATTCTGACATATCGTATATATCGATATAATGCTTATATTCAATTTTGATTTCGCTGCTTCGCTTGTTTGTTTTCTCTGTCGCCGCCCGCGCGCCCCCGCCTCCCTGATTTTGTTCGCTCGTGTCTCATTCACTCCGTCACTATCGCCGTGAACGTCGAAAGTTGCTGCCAGTGAAAAGCTTCAAGCGCCACGAAACTTTTCCACCATTTACAGACAAGAACATCAGCAGCACATCCTCACATTCCACCAAGTCATGTCCTTTAGTCCAAAAGAAGTTGAACCGCAAGAGCGGCGCGTGGAGTGCGCTGGTTATGCAAATTAGCCATGAGCTTTTTAAGTTTCGTTTCTGTAAAACGTAAACAAGTCTGCGCAAAGCTGCAAAAAAATAAAAAATAAATAATTAACACTTAAATCTCAAACGGGCTGATGTGGCTCTTGAGTCGTTATGCTGTATATCTTGTAAAGTTTAGTAATGTAAATTCTATTTATGCAGAAGATTTTAATTAATAATCTGTTGCAGTGTCACTTGTACAAAAGTGTTTGGAAACGTTGGGTTTGATCTGCAGTGGATTGTGGGAAACCTCATAGCTCCTTACTGCTGGAACATGGATCTGTTAAAATAAGGAACATCCTGAGCTTCTTCTGTTAAAAGAGTTCATGGTTATGGTTATGGTCTGGATAACAGAGTTAATGCAAAGATGAGCTTGTGTTGAGTTGTTTTATTTATGAATGAAACAAAGGAAATATGTTTTATTTCTTTTATTTGACAGTTAAATTATTATTTATGTAATTAGGGTTTTTTGTAATCTTAAATGTTCCTATACGAACTGCCTACCTGTTACACTTTAATTTTTTAAAAAAGGACCTTGTGGAATTTGGCATATTTGTTTTTGCAGTTTTCCATTTTAGGGGGTTATTTTTTCCTGTACAGATATCGAGATATATATCGTATATCGAGATATAGCAAAATATATCGAGATATATTTTTTGATCCATATCGCCCAGCCCTATTATCTACTATATTATTTATCTATACAGTACATGGGTTTCAGATTGCTTTTATAGGCAGCATTTTGAGAATTGTTTACCATTTACTAAAAGCTTTAACAAACAGATATGCAGTTTTCAATTGTGAATTACTATGACGCTCCTAAATTTTTCCACCATTCTGAAACCCATATATTAATGTCTCCACTCAAGCAACACATGAACTGGTGGACGTTTACATAATTTTGAGAATGAATCACAACTAGTCTTGCTTCATTTTTTGCTCGTGGTCCCACCCTAATGTACGAATGTTTCCTATACAACTGTCATTTGTTTACATTGAAATAAACAGAATAAAACTCACCAATATTGACGTCTCCCACTGTGGCTTGCTTGTATAGACCGTATAGAGAAGACATTTCCTGCTTATTCGGGGTCTGTTTTAAGACTTTAGCCTCCTCTGCTGCTTTCAAAAAGGCTTCCTGTATGAATGGATAAAAACAGATAGTATTGCTTAACATTTTGTCTATCAGTAATAACTTTCTATTTACATTTTTGCTTTTATAAAAGTTGAAAATACTTACAGACATGATTTCACCAGAGCCACACGTGTTCAGCTACAGTTCAGACTCTGTTCTTTTCAGAGAACTGTTCTCCCAATGATCCTGCAAATCAAGTTTTTGGGCTTGTGGCGTCAGAAGAGTGGGCAGGGCCTCAATGCACATGGTTTGAAAACAAAAAACTGGCAACCATCAGATTGTCAGTTGTCCCAAGGATTAAGTATAATTTGTTTCAATAATTTCAAAAGCTCAAGAATCCCGCAGATCTCTTAACTGTGTATGTGTATGGAAAACTACTTACAGCAAATTCTCACCAGGGGGCGCCAGGACTGCATTTGCTGGGATACTGAGGAGTGAAGCAGTTTGAATACTGGATTGTAAAAAGGCAAATGCATATTCAAAACTAGTCTGTACTAATTGGTGTACTACTCTACACATGATTCTGGGATGAATGAGTGATGAAAATGTATCACCGTTGCCATGGTAATTAGCAATTCAAAACAAAATGGTTGACTAAACTAAATCATACATGTGTATCATTAGTTTTGAACAGTTCATTAACTAACAAATTATGAGTATTTTAACATCTCAAGCCAAGTGAATAGACGTTGGCATTTAGCTGCAATTAACAATTTGACCAGCAGATGGCAGTGCAGTACAACACCAAACACTAATCAGCACAAACAGGGCCAAAGAAAATTAGAGGAATAAAACTAGAAAAATGCATTTGATTTTAATCTACAGTGCATAGTTACAGTGTAAGAATTTTTGCTACACATTTTATATTATACTGCAAAAACTTAAAAATAAAGATCAAGTAACATCTTTGGCACAATTTGATGCCAAATCTTGAAATTAAAATATTATATTAAAATATTTACATCTTTATAATCTTAATCTCTGCATAATATACAAACATAGGATGTGATCATCCAACCTCTCCACAGTAGCTAATATGCCTTCATAATACACTTAAATGTAGGTGCATTTTTTGATCAAAGGAGCAGTCTGTCCCCTCTGTGAGAGCGCATGAGAGAGGAGGGACTCAAATGAACTGAAAATGACCAAAAATGAATTGAAAATGATCAAAAGTGTTTTGCAAAGTTATTTCTTTGCTGACACAGTCTATGGTCTGCACATGACTCTGAGGAGTTCATTAGTTTCAACACTGTCACTTGGTGTTAGCACTAGCTAGCGCTAGTTAACAAATACGTTTAAAACAACAGAACAATCTGCAAGTGCAGCTTGGCTTAGTAGTACATAGACTTTCATTTGTCCCTTATATTGTAAAAGATATCATACTTGTACACACTTAACCCACCTGTAAAGGCAGAAAAGACTTCTCTGAACAGACTGTAAACACCAACTTACACACTGAAAAGAAGAGCCACTATGATGTCGCGGCACATGAATTCAAAATGACCAAAAGTGTTCTATTTCATTGAAAATGATTTTAAAAAGTTGAGTTAACGAGTCGTTACGGTGTCTGGCGCCAGTTCTAGGCCCAAGAGCTGATCAAGGTCACAGGCGGTAACTCCGCCTGTCCACTAGGGGGTGGTGAAGTTCGAACCCACAGCGAACGATGATTGGCCTACAGAAAGTTGTGGCGCAGTGTGAAACTCAATCTGTGGTAGGGTTAAATTTATTTATTTATTTATTTTAAGTTCACCTGGCCTTTTTATGTTGTCGTAACAAAGCGGGTATAATCATTTCTAAAGGAAACTATAGAAAAAACAATAACAGTCTCAGTGAAATACAGCGTGTGTGAACGCCCAAATGACCTGTAGATTATTTAAAAAAATCTTAAAGAGTAATTCAACATAAAAATAGCACCATGTAAAATGATTGGCGTACAAAATGTTGTGATGGCATCTGAAACCCAACCTATAGTAGACCAGGGATGAATGAAAAATGTTTTGATCTGGCTTTTTTATGTAGTCATAATAAAGCATAATCTGAGTTTTGTTTCACGGACGGTCTCTGAAGTGGTTTGTCCAACATGCCATACGTCTGTACAATGCATCGCTTAAATGATGAATACAAGAGGATGGACTGTTGTATTATTATGTGTGGATCATAATAATATAGCATTTGTTCCTCCCACTCCTGCTGCCATTCTGGGCCCTCTTATTGTCCTGCCTTGTGCCCTTCTTTGAGCTGCCAGACTCTGCTCCCAAGCCTATAGTTAACACCCAAACACACCTGTCCTTTCTGTTTGTGCTGTGCTGGTGCTGAACGAAGCTGCAATTGTGGCGTCCCATATCTGTAAATGGATTAATGCGTAAATGAAAGTGCGTTGAGTTTATTTCACTACATTTATGTTCTGTTCAATAACGATTTTACACTGATTATCATTTACTGCCCTAATTCTTCTAGAAAAAAAACACTACTCCATATCCCTTCCTACTCCACAATTAAATTTATTGATATACTGGATCCTTGAGTCATGGTGCCAGTCATGTTTTTTGCGTTTCCATAGCGATCTAAGAAGATGCAGTGTAATACCATGGCAACCAGAAATCTGACTCCATTGTGTTCACGCGCGGGTGTCAGTCGAGTCATCTCCATCAGCACACACACGCTCGTTATGTGGGCAGTCACGTGTTTCTGAGAGGGTTATACAGAGCAGTATTGTAGAAATATACATAGGAGCAGTAATAGATAGAAGCCAATATCCATAGAAACAAGTAGGTGACAGACTCCCAACCCGAAAAGTTACAGAGTGCACCTTTAAAATACAATCCCACATAAGTATTGCAGGTTCATGGGGGTCTTTTTGTGTGAAGTTTGCATGTTCTCCCTGTGTATTTCCTTTAGGTGGTCCTCCTGTTCCTATAGTAAGACCGAGGACACCAGACTCCACTTCATTTTGTAACAGATAAACCTATGTCCTATGTTTATTTTTGTTAATAGTACATCCACATTTATATAATTATGCCTTATTTGATGCCAGTCTCTTGAGATTTTTTCAACTTTTAGAATTTATTATTACCATTTACATGTTTTCTCTTTGTTATTATAATATACTGTGATGTGTGAGAGACTGTGTCCAAGAAATTTCCCTTATGGACACAATTCATAAAGTTTTAGGTCATACTAAGTCATTAATGACAATATACAGAAACTTAAGAATGAAAAAAAGCACACACATGATGATTTCCATTTATGCTCTTAGTACAGGACCTCAGGAAATGTATACAGTGAAGAGCTCCATGACGTCAACTGGGGTCCCTTTTGTGGAACAGCACAACAATAAACAAAGCGGTCGAGATGGATGTAGACGAAGACATACATTCTGTTTTGGAACAATTCCCGAGATCGAGGATTTAAAGCTGGAACAAAGAGAAAGTTTGTTGAATTTAATCAAGGGAAAAGATGTTATTGCCCTTCTTCCTACAGGATTTGGCACATTACATATGTCATGATCTAATAGCAGCAATTGGTTAAATAAAAAAAGTACCCGCCGACTGTCGAGCGAATGAATCCTAATGTTGCGAGGTCAGACGGTTTCTACAAAGTGAAACCGGCTGATGAATCAGGTTAACATTTATGACCTATGCCATTTAAACACATACACAGTACTGTAACATACTGTATGTGCTGCATTAAACAAAAGCAATTTCTATAATGTTTTTTCTTACTCTCTCGGAAGGATTTGCATTTAAATATAAATTCAGTTGTTTTTATTGCCTTTAAAATAATGGACTGCTACCACCACATAATGCAACATAAAAATGCAAACTAGACACATTAAAGTGATTTTGTGCTTTCAGGGCCTGTATATGTCCCATGTGGATTTGACCAGAGCGGACAAGACATTGATGTAGTAGGGTTTTTATTGACGGTTTTCCCTTTTCTCATTTTGAATCATGATGAGGCATGACCACGTAATAGGACTTAGACCACCTGAGTCCAGATCTAAGTAGAGTTCAGTGACCTCCTATATCCAATTTAGGTGAACATATTCGGGTTTGTTATTGTAATATAAAAACACAAGTGCAGTCCAGCGGGCGATTCGGAAAACAACATCTGGGCCCTGCTTTTAGAATATAATACAACGCCATCATTACTAGTGTTACTGATGGCAGATATATTTACACCAGATATAAGTAAAATGGTGGTGTATTGCTCCAAAGCACAACAACAGTATTGGGTAAGCACTAGTAGTAGTAGTAGTTTTGTAGTAGTAGTTTAGTTTATTCGGTCTTTTTACAACACAACAAAACAAAACAAAAGAAAAAAACATAGACTACAACCCCATAGATCATGACTGAAAGGGTTTAGGCTGAAGTAAAAAGTACATGTAATACCAAACCCTGTTAAACACTGACAGAATTCCAAGAAAAAAGCAGCGTATGAACAGCAAGTTTACATTTACAGTTTCACTTATGACTTACACGACTATATAAAAGACAAAATATAAATTAAAACAAACAAAATGTAATGCATAATTCATTAATTTCAGAGCTCTATGTCTGTGGAAACATAACAATACTCTTTTTTTAAAGGTTTCTACAGTGTTAGACTTTCTAAAATCATCACTCAGGCTGTTCCATACACTAACCCCTCTAACAAAAACACAATTGCTTTTTTCTTAGTTCTTATCTTGATTTTTTTTTTTTTAAAGATACCTGTTCCTCTAAAGTTATACTGACTCTCTCTCTGCTCAAATAAGTCGTGTAAACAAGGAGGAAGCAGATGATTCTAGGCCTTGTACATCACTACGGCTGTACTCAGGTCAACACGATAAAAAAATCTAAGTACTTTTAGCTTAACAAAAAGAGGATTTGTTGGTGCATAATAATTCACATGATTAATAATCCTAATAACTTTCTTTTGCAGTAGAAAAAATGTTATTAATATTTGATTTATAAGTATTCCCCCATATTTCCGCACGGTAGTTTAGGTATGAAAGGAATCAACTGTTATACAATAAAGAGAATTTTGATTTATTTTCTTTTCACTCATTATAGCAAAAATTTTAGCGAGCTTTGTCTGAATTATACTTATTTGCATTTTCCAGTTAAGTTTTTCATCTATATGAGTACTAAGCAGTAGGGATGTAACAATAACCGAAAAATCGTGATATCGTATCGTCAAAGTTCTCACAGTAATATCATGGACCATCACAATATAT